CCCCCCCCCCCCCAACTCCACCAAAAAACCGTTTAACTCCAACTAATAGAGATAGATCAGTAAACTGTCCATACCATGTCTCCTTCAATTTCGTCTTCAGACAAATAAGACGCATATGCACTTCTGTCTTATTTATTCAGTCCTTTAAGAGCTGATTGGTCACTTGGGTTTGCATTGAGCTGAAACCACTTGTGTGACAGCAGCCAATCAGCTCATGTCATGAAGTTTGCAATGTTGCACTTTTGTTTCTTTAAGAAGTCAATATCTAAATTTAAAATAAATGTGGAAAAAAGAAAATTAGAATTAGAATATTAACAGTTATTTGTTTTGCTATTTGTATTTACAAGTTACACACTTTTTCCTGATTCATTCTGTATTGTTTTAAAGCAGATTTACTGAAAATCACAGACCAAAGGTACATTGTAACTGAATATAATAAATGCTATTTTTAGCATTATAAAGTTAGTTGCATTATAAAGTTGGCAGATGGGTCAGACCTGAGTGTTAGTGAGTATGTCACTATATAGTTTGCACTGAGACTTGTTTCTATTTTCACACCTCTTGCTGCATCAAAACCACATGTTAAAACCCAGCTATCCTTTCATTAACAAAAAAAAGGGTTATGTACTATACATAGCTGACATCTGATAAACTGCCTATATTAAAACTAAAGGTATACATAAAGTTTGGCATCTGTACATACATATGCAGCTAATGCTTGATTATTTGCTTTTGTATCATAAGAATTTTCAGAATCATGACTTTTATGATCTTTTATCGCTGGGACCACTCCATCTTTCAGTATCAAACGATGTGCAAATCCAGTGTTGAACTGGGCCTTGTTTATAAAATATTAATCAACAAACACACTTGCAAAACAAACTGCATCCACTGTTTATGTAACGCTGGGTTCCCTTTCAGTCGGTCACTACAAGTTATTTGTTTGTTTATTTTGACAAAAAAGTAGTGAATACACTCTATTCGTCAAGGATAACACAATAAAGTTTAAAACAAAACTTATTTCCATTGTGGTCCTTGATGTAAAGCACAAACTTCACTCCCGGTAACAGGTACACTGGCACTGCATTATACAGGTGCATCTCAATAAATTAGAATGTCGTGGAAAAGTTCATTTATTTCAGTAATTCAACTCAAATTCTGAAACTCGTGCATTAAATAAATTCAATGCACACAGACTGAAGTTTTAATTGTGATGATTTTGGCTCACATTTAACAAAAACCCACCAATTCACTATCTCAACAAATTAGAATATGGTGATATGCCAATCAGCTAATCAACTCAAAACACCTGCAAAGGTTTCCTGAGCCTTCAAAATGGTCTCTCAGTTTGGTTCACTAGGCTACACAATCATGGGGAAGACTGCTGATCTGACAGTTGTCCAGAAGACAATCATTGACACCCTGGCTGTTCACAATCATTGGCTGGCTGTTCACAGAGTGCTGTATCCAAGCATGTTAACAGAAAGTTGAGTGGAAGGAAAAAGTGTGGAAGAAAAAGATGCACAACCAACCGAGAGAACCGCAGCCTTATGAGGATTGTCAAGCAAAATCGATTCAAGAATTTGAGTGAACTTCACAAGGAATGGACTGAGGCTGGGGTCAAGGCATCAAGAGCCACCACACACAGACGTATCAAGGAATTTGGCTACAGTTGTCGTATTCCTCTTGTTAAGCAACTCCTGAACCACAGACAACATCAGCCGTACCTGGGCTAAGGAGAAGAAGAACTGGACTGTTGCCCAGTGATCCAAAGTCCTCTTTTCAGATGAGAGCAAGTTTTGTATTTCATTTGGAAA